CTATGAAAAACCCAACTTCACATTCAAATTCATAATTCTCAAAATCAAGTTTTGTGCTGTAAAGTGAGTTTATCACATAGACCCTTCGATTGTAATGCACATTTATTATTTTGGTACTTAGTTCAGTGCAGTTATATAAAGGACAGTAATATTAGTTTTATTGATTTCTTTTCCATAACGTTATTAATGTTTTTTTATGTAACGCGTCAGTCAACATACCTGGGTGTTGATGGAAAGTTAATTTGTCTTTCAAATAGGTATACTCATATAAGTAAATATTGTATTTATACTATGTTATTGTGTGTTTATGTCTCTTAACACAGCAATAGTGTAATTCGCATGAAAATTTAGTGTATAAATATTAGCACACAGTATTTATTTTATAGTAAGACCCTATTATATCATGAATTATAAATGTCGGACTCCTGCATAATGCTGTGTATGTATAAGAAATATGACATTGAGACAAATACAAGAATCATTTAAAGTATTGTACTAAATCTTAGTGTACACACCATACTAGGCGGACATGATATTAAACTCATATTCGTTGTTATGTTATGTATTAAAAACGTAGCCATTCGCAGCTAACCAATTAAGATATTTGCCAACAACGTAAGGCAACACATATAATATAACATTGTTATAATATTATGTAAATATTATAATATACTCACGGGCATTAAAACTTTATAAGAAGCGTTACCTAATACGCATTGCACGCGTGTACTTGTTTTGCCTATCTAATGTGCCGTGTCAGAATAATTATATAGTCAAAAGTTTTTATGATGATTTGCGTTCTTAAGTTTTCCACATAGTCAATGTTTATAAAACAAAAATCTAATACTAAGACGGTTTATGGTTACATTTTTCTTTTGAACTTTTTTACTAATTACACTTTTGTACTGTGCTTGGACGTTGTCATTGTTTGCTGTTTCGTTTAATTTCCTTTTTACATTTAAGTAAACTTCCTCTTCGTCGTTTAATAACGCTTCAGCCAACCAAATCCTTTCTCCCGCATTTCTGTATACTGCCACCTTTGTTTAATATACTCGAAATGGTGCAACTATCAAACTACGCTTGATTACTCACTTCACATAATATGTACACCGGCATGAAAGTTATGTAAGGCATGAAACTCATAAATTATACTAAACTTGTAAGTAAAAATAATTCTGCAGTTATCGGTCGTACAAAACAGAGACTTTTAAAATAATTAAGATCAGATTGATTTACCAGCCTACTTTGTTTTCATTTATAAATGAATGTATCCGCATCATGACTGAAAAATTGACACGTATAATATATATATAGATTTTGTTTAATAAATTAATAACTTTTAGCTAGAAGAGAAAGCTGGCGTCGATACAATATAGTTTTTATTTATACTTTTATAAATAGTTATATAAACTAGACCGATCGCTTTATGATCAATAGTTGGACTAGAATATCTTACTGATATAAAAACAAAATCACCCATTCAACTTGTTTTGTAAAAACTATACATTTTTTTTTAATGTTAGCTGTGCTTTTTTTTTACAAAACTATTATTACTATTTCAGGACATGTGACTTTATTATAATATCAGACCAGAAATTTCAAGTAATATACAATACTGTTATAGGTTTTTGTTATTATCCCATTTTTGATTTATTTACTTTGTTGATAATTTACTTTTATAATATCCTTTTTTTTATATTGAAATATGCTGGAGTCACATATAATAAATAATAATATATTACTGTAGTTTACTGTTTGGGGTTCGAGTAAAGTACTCCCTCGGATTGGTTTTTTAATAATTAATTTTGATCCGACCCAAAATTATTTTTTGTTCATCCTTTTAGAAAACCCGGTTTGACGTCACCGCACTGATATTAATTTTTTTAAATAAAGCTTAAAGTAGACAACTTTGAAATTGAACAAATGATAATAATAATTTTAATGAACATTCCAATTTCAACCGATTACTGTATCTATTTATTTTAAAGTCATTGTGGTTCGGATGTGCTGCTGTACAGCTGCTATGTTGGCATATAAGGTTATGTTATAGCTGTAATACCTAAGTATAGTAACCGGAAGTTCATGTACATAGTCTAGGGGCCATATAAAAAAAAAAACATGGAAAACTTAGGTGATGTTGGTGAAACTCGTTTACGAGAAAATGAGATAGGAAATTGGATTAGCTCGGTACAAGGCAATTCGTATGAGACATACAAAAAGACACCTATGTAAAACCTAGCATAAGCTAACAAAAAAAAACTAGTTTAATTTAAATATAGACAAAAATAAGTAGATGTTTTTTTTTCCAAACATTTTGTGTTTGCGTTTGAGTTCAGAAATAGTTTAAGAACGTTGCGTATCGTTGGTATAAAACTACCGGAGAAAAAATGCGATAAAACACACAAGCATGATAAAATGAAAATGAAAAAGAGACCGTGCAAAGGTTTGGATCAAAATTATTTTTTTATTAAAAATTACCATTTTGCCAAATTGGACGATAACGACAGTCGACGAGAGTGAAATTGGTCATCGTTTGGTTCGTGGGGTTGATTTTTTCACCCTCGGTTGCTGCATGATTTATTTTCCTCGTTTTAAAATTAGTAACACTGACTAAAATATTCTAATTTTATAACCTTGTGTGCAACGAAGGGTTAAATAATGTTCAGCCTCCCTTTGGCACTTTTTTCACGGTACGCTTATATTGATCGAATGACCGATTAAATCAATTGGAAAACGACTATGGCAATCGTATGACGTTAAAGGGGTGAGGAAGGAAAATGGAGGATTAGTATACGCCTAAACGAAATGGCACACAACTTTGTCGAAGCGCATGTCAGCAGTAAATCTGTAATGAAACTTTTTTTTTTATTGAGAAAAAATCCGAAAAGAAAAAAAAATGGAAAATTAAACTTTGACCGTATTCATTTCTAGATTGCTAAAATATGTGAGTGATTCAACAGGTATCTGGAAAATATTTCTATATTATTGGTAATCACAATGTATGGATAACTTACAGCATCAAATTCATATAGACAGGCGTTTAACCCTAATCTTATCTACTGTAATATCTAGCCGGGCACTTAATGGACAGTGCAGGACAAATCTATTGGTTTCTGAATGCAGAGTGTTTTCAACGAACAAACACAATCGTTTGACAATAAGCTGTTGATATAACGAATAGTACAGTTAAACATCAGATTAAAGACTAACTACAAACTTTAGAAGCAAAGTACCTCCTTTATAGAGTATTTATATGGATTATAAAAATAAGGAAATAAGTGGTCTTAGGTAACAAGGCTGCACACGCCTACTTGCATAGCGGTTGTTGTCACCGTCCTTGCCTCGTAGTGTGCATCGCTCTTGTCACAATGCACAATGCACCTAGGCACATACATTACACCAGCCTAATTCTCAAAATATAATTTTTAAGCACATTAAGCTTTAACAATGCTTTCGTAGGTATTCAATATTTCTACCATTACAGATTCGCATCGCAAGCGTTCATTTGTCAACTATTCAGTAAATTATTTTATGACTGTCGCTTTTCTAGTGGTTTCTTATAATTTCTGGTAAACTCCCCAAAACGGTTAGGCTAGCTGGTATTATACAAAGATTACTCGGTTACTAAAATTTTAAAAAAGGTAAATAATTGATCATTTTATAACTTTATAGAATATCACGAACAAACATTTATATTCAGTAAGAAAGTCTACTAAATTGTCATTATTAAAGAGTTATTGAGTGCCTAATGTCAAATAGAACACCCTGTATATTTTTTCTTAAAAACCTAATTTTTTTAAGTGGTTTTTCTCCCATTTCTTCTACGAGGTGTCTCCTAAAGTATTTCAAATTTTTGTAGAGAAAGTAGTAAGTTTTCTATATAAAAAAAGTTGGAATCCGTCCAGTAGATACGCATGAAAGTGACTTCTACGAAGGTCATTTTTTTATCAAACTTGCCATTGACTCGAGTGAAAAAGAACTTTAAGAGTTTTGTACCTTGGAAAAAGTGATATTCCCTCTCAGTTAGTGGGCACATTTAAAACGGCTTCTAGATTAATATATGTCAAATTTGTCTATATTAGGGCAAATTATTACCCGTTCCCCTCGATATGAAATTTACTGAATTTCCCCGATTCAAATAGTTTTTTAATATTTTATGTATTGATCAATTTTTAACTATGGATACTTTTTCCAATTTTTGTTGGGAAACACATCGGTTTTTTCCGGATTTGTCGAACTCTTAGCGGTATAGAGATTTGGACGGCGTTCGCCAAAACACAATACTCGACGTTTGATAACAAAAAAAAAAAAAGTGTTTAAAAAAATAACTAACCAGCAATAAGGAAACCCGATTTTAAATGCAAAACCTTAGCGTATACCTTTTTTTTCTCAGGACCCTCGCTTGCCCCCGTTAAAAGTACACATAACACTTTGCAGGTAAATGGTGTTTGTTAGGCAACTATAAGGCGGCGATGCAGCTTTCAAAAAGCGAACTCTCGCGCGTGCACTATCCCAAAAGTCTTTTTGTCAGTATAAATATATATATACATATATTTAAGTATGTGTTTATACATACATACATATATTTAAAGCACATTGGGGTCAGTTTGCCCGTCCGCGTAGGTGTGGGGATGCTGCGAGCGGGCGGGCGTGGTGCTTCCTCGCTGCCGCCGCCGCTCGGTGCAAAAGGTCGCCTCTTCCTCTTCCTCCTCCATCTTGGCCGTCAAACGCGCCGGCGGTGACGTCGGAGCCAGCGGTGGTGGCCGGAGATCTGGCGGCGAGCGGCCCGGGGAGACGGGGAGGCTCGGAATTATCGAACAGCGGCCCCGAAACCTTTATGACGGGGGCGAAGCGCGCGCTCTCCGCAGCCTCGCGATGCGCCTGGGCCGCGCCGCGGCGGCGGCGGCGGTAAGAGAGCTGCTGCTGCTGCGCTTCCCCAGCGTCCGCCGCCACCGCGTGTGGTGTTGATAATAAACGCGAGTACGCAGTCTGGCCGTGCGGTGCGCGACACACAGACGCCCGCGTACCACCGCCGTCGATGTACAACACAATAATAAATAAAAATACAATTACAAATTGGTAGCGCAACAATAATATTATTATTTTGTTAAAAAGTATATATATATATATTATACACGCGACTGCGATCGTGTCTGTCCGTTCGTTGTGACACCTTTGTTATAGAGTATATTTATATCTTTTTTTTTTCCGTCTTGCCGATTTTTTTTTAAATCTTCGTTAGCGGAGAAGTTATTACCGTCTTTTTTTTAGAAAAAAAAAAAATTATTACCGTTGTCGCTCGTGACGACATGTCCGATTCGCCGGGTGCCGTCGCCGATCCGACGGAACCACCGCCGCCGCCTGATGGGGCTCCCGGTTCGACGCCGGCTAAAAAATCCGTGCTCCCGGCCGAGCACCCACAGCAACAACAACAACAACAACATTCACCACAACAACAACATCTGAACGGTGGTTCGCCTGCGGCCGTGGCGGCCGTCACCAACGGGACAGCACCGGACACGCCGCGCAAGAGAGGTGAGCGCCCAATCGGCTCATGGCGATTTTATTTTCCCCCCAAAATCATACCCAGTTCGCTGTATTTTAGGGGGTTCCGTATAAAGAAAATGCATACAATGCAAAAACGCGCGCTAGTATACCGTTAAATATTACCAATCGATTGGAAGGTAATTTGGCACTATCGTTGCTCAGGCTCGTCCCGTAATATTTACTATATATGAATTAATCATCAATACGAATCGGCTAATTTGCGTGAAATTCTAAACACTGCATAATATGTATGGACAAACTTAGGTTTGCTTAGCGCCCAAATAGTTTTGAATTTTCAACACATGCAGTTTTCTAGTAAAATAACTGTGCTCTTGATTATTATACACAATTAATGTAGGTACATATTATATACACATCAAGTCCTCGACGGTATCGTTTTACAGCTGCCGGACGACCGTATGTTATTATTATTAATTACATTAGCTTATAAAAACCCAAATAACAAATTGCTCAGTCCACAACAATTGAAGGTTGTGTGTAATTTTCGGTCGGGCCTTCGTTTGGTTCACACTATGATCACATGTTTTCATATATTTCATGTGCAATTACAGCGGGAATAACCGGCGTTGAGAGACTCGACATTTTGACACCGACACTTATGGTTAATGAGCGAATTCGGAGAAGGGCGAATACAGTTAAACATAATATGCAGATGATATGGTGATACAGCTTTACAGTTAAATTAACAGAATCTGTATCATCTATTTTAGGTTCTGTGTGTTGTGTAGGTATTTTCGGAATTGTATTGGTTTGTTATTGATTCGATTTGAGCGCGTTGTTATGTTTGAAATTGTACCATGTAATCTACTTTACCCACAGATAAAGTTGTAATGATATATCACGTTAATTACCTACAATTTGTCTTCTGCAGGTGCTCGAATGGTGTACAAAATAATATATTATTATGTGACAGACCGTCGATTAAAATTAGCAAACAAACTAAGAAAACCTATTTAATAGTTTACTACTTTATGTACTTTTATACATTGATCAATCGATTATTCAAAAAGTTTATTGCTCGTCTTTGTACAATATCATATTTATTAGAATTCAAAACCTATTCATCTGGTTTTAATTATAATGTTGCTAAACAATGGAAATGTATAATTGGTTTCAATTCATAGTTAAGGCACTTGCTTTCACTTTTAATTTTATCAAAAATAATTAACTACGTAACCCGCCCGTTTACCAAATGGTATTTTAAGTAAAATATTTTCAATAATTTATTTAAATACTATAATATTTGTTTAATAATGCTAACAAGGTTTTACAGTATTTTTACATCACGTCTTAGTAGGAAATAAAAATATTAATTATAATAATCAACACGGTTTTAATCATTTTTCTTGAATATTTAAATTAAATTGATTGTACTTCAATTATTTTTTAATACATCAAAAAATATATATATTTACAATATTTTCCTATTAAACATTAAGCAAATACCCTTTTTTTTTTTTTTAAAACGCTGTTTATATAATTTATATCATTATTTTTTTTTTACTTAAACGCCTATCTAGGTTATTGATAAACGATAATAACATTATATACCGTTGTAGTCAACTATAAACTATATTAGGTATACTACAGAGTAATTACAGTCAAATATAAACAAGAAAACCTTATATTAATCTAGTAATTATTATTGTATAATTACTTTAAGTGACCGCATGACTGATTAATCTATTGATAGCTTCAAATAGTGTATTCCACCTTCGGCAAATTGGCCGTTGTCCAAACAATTAACAATGATTTTCTCTCCAAAACGTACAGGGTACTTTTTTCTGCCTTTTTTCTATCAGACTTTAAATCAAGGCTGCCTAAGTTCTTCTACAACACTCTCACAAACATGTATAAATATATTTCAAATTTTAATTAAATATCATTGCATGTGTAACCTTATAATACCAAAACTATTATTTCACATTTAACGTGACTATTCTCCCACAAAAATACAAACCTTGAAAAGTTCTATTGTACTCGACACTCGTTCAAAATAAAATTCTATTTCACTTGAAACTTGTTATGCTAATAAAATCCCAAGACTTTTACTTAAATTATTTTCCAACTTTGTGTCTCAGAAATTTCCAGTTTTTCGTCAACAATTTTCATCAATAGTAAAGCAAAAATTTTAATTCGGTAAGCCGAAAATTTACCCAAAAAAATGAAATTTAATTACTTCAATAAAACGTTATATACCGAGAATTCCGTTAAGCCAATTATTGGGAACAGTCCGCCATAGGAGTTTTCTATAGCTTAAGATTTTTGTCGTCGTTTAACGTTGCAAGTAAAATTGATAGTATTAAAAAAAAATGGTACTTCTAATAATGATATAAAACTGTCATTTTTAGGCAGGGAACACCGAAATGTATTGATAATGTTTCTGGGCGACCAGCCAATAATATGTGGTACCGCGATGGCCGGGAAAACACCGTCGTCGTGCTTAACAGCCAGAAAAAGTCCCGGACCCGTGCAGCTTATTCGTTGCTGTGTATATAATACATATATATAATATATATATATATATATATATGTGTGTGTGTGTTATAAGCGTGTTATATAAGAGCAAATTGAAAGCGAAATCTGCAGTAAACTGACAAATGTGGGCATAGGTCCAACACACCCCTAGCCCCACGGTTACCCTTTATCCTCTCAAAAAGGTGTAACCGGGGAATTTATCTCGTTTTTGTGCAAGCGAAATGTAAATTATATTTCAACCAATTCCGCAATGGAAGGTGGGTAAAAGGAGAGAACTCGCGGGGATTACCTAAGCGCCGGTGATTAACATAACGCTAAGGGTTATTAAATTTACAAAGCATTAATGTATTTTTTAATTTTTTATTTATTATTCTCGACGAGACAGCGCTGACCGGAACAACCTTAGCCGCCTAATGACCAAATACGTTTTTTTTTGTTCTGTTTTATTAAACGCTTTTGAGTTCATACTAACATATTACATTACGTAAGATTGGTCGAAAATCATTTAACTAAAAAAAAAAATATCAATTTCGATACACAAGTACATGATAATAAATTATATTTTGTACTTAAATTAGCTTTGACATGTTAAAGTTTACTTAACAGGACATAATGTAATCTTAAATTATTGAAAACTGACGGTTATGTTGAATCATAGTTATTTAAATCACATGTAGCTGTTGCCACTGCACTTGGCATGGTTTTTAGCCTTAGTTTTTAAAGATAATTGGTGTATTATTGTAGTTTGTAACATTTTGTCACAATAAAAGGGACTAATAAAACTATATAACTACATATATTATCTTTGTCGTGTATTATCATCAAAAATAAATAATTTAATCTACTGTACTCACAATAATAATTATACTATTCTAGTTCTTGCATGGAAATTAGTAAATGTAGTCCTACACGAACTTAAAACGCAATACTCTTCATACAAACACTAGTTTCGATTTTTAGCTTTTTTTCCCTCGCTTGTTGTTTTTATTTATATTTTTTTCTTGTACAATCTTAATAATAATGTTTAAACGGATTCAACTTATCGTGGGAGTTTTTGATTATTTATTCACATTATTATGTTTGTAGCGAGTATCATCATTGAGTATCATATATATATTGTACAATATATACTCAATGGTATTATAAAACAATAACAAGGATGAAACATGACTTTGGATCGTTAATCGTTTGTCGAAAATTAAGATCAGAAAGTCTGCAATGTAATTAGTTGCTTGTTGTTTGCGCTTCGAGAAATACCGAAAAACTTTCAATGAGTTTTTTTTTGTTCTGCGATTTTTCTTTTTTGTTTTACTTTTTTTTTCTTAATACGCTTTAATACGAAAAGTTCATCGAGTTTATACGGTGTGGTATAACAGTAACCCAATCGAATTTACATTCTGCAAGTTTCAAAGTAGATCGCACCAAAGATACTTGCAGAATAATTATTATTATTATAAAAATAACAGAACACTTTTTTTCGAACACTTCTGTTGACATTCTCTGGTTTTTTTTTTAACTCTACACCACAAAGTTAAGAATTATCTTGACAATAATTCTCAATTATCTGTCAATATTATGTACCCTATCGTTATCATATTTTTATGTTATATGACTAAAGCCCGTAGGTTTTTTTTAGCTTCGATGCTTTTTATTATTTTTAAAAAATGTTTGGCCTCAAAACGTGGTATCGACAAAAATATCGAATACTTATATGAACGTCAGCCTAATTAACACATATATTTATTAAATTATTATATTTCATGTTATAAGACAAATTCCAAGCGAATTTATTTTTATTTTTTAATTTAATTTGTGTGTGAGTGTGTGTGTGTATTCAATTATCGCGTTCTATTGTATTGTTTTTGTTAACGCGCTGTCTCTTTAGAAATAAAATAGCATATTAATGTATACCATATAACTGCATTTACTTTTGTCTGGATCTTTTACAAAGTTGTCTGTTTTAAGAACGGTTTACAGTTTTCAGTTAAAATTTACTTTCGGTTGTAAATATATATTGCTATTGTTATTCTAGTTATCTACACGTTAACGTATAAGGTAAACACGAATAATGAACCGCGGACAATAATTGGCATTGCGTGCTTACAATACTTGATCATTAGTCGATTTTCGTATTTATAATCGCATGACTTCAATAGCAAAACACTATATAAACTTATCTATGTGTTTTTTTTCCGTTTATGTTTATTTACCAACAATTTCCGACCGAATTACAGGACTGTTTTGTACACAATATTATTATGTATAATAGCGCGAGAACTAAATGAGCCCAAAGTCGCGCATTATATTATATATGATTTATATATATATATATATATATATATATATATATTTATTACATAACGTTATTACCCGCCGAATCGGTCCCATGCGATTTAAGCCATGAAATCGTTTAATACGCGTACAATTGCATTGCTGTGTTATTTTACGATTAAATCTTCTAATTAAATTACCAAAAAAAAATATATAAA